TTGTGCTCCACCAAGATCCGGGCCCCACGTGGAATGGAAACCCTGACGGCGATGCGGTGATTATGGCCTTGCCATAATGAGTGCATCAGTGTGGACTTTTCCATGGGTTTTTTTCCATGGGAGGCTTCCTCCTGTGAGAGGTTAACTTAAAATCTGGATTATAGCTTCCACTTCAGAGCAGGAGATGCTGTAGCGTGAAGCTGGTGATTACGCTGGCTCTGGTAGCCGTGGATCACAAGGGGGACGCTGGTCACATTGGTTCTGGAGACTCCGATGGTGAGCACTGGTGGTCGCTCAGTGCAGGAGCTGACCCCAGCAAACTGCGTCGTCTCCCACGTTTTTAACCAGGGCATGGTTTCTTTCTTCTCTGACTTGGGAGCTGCATTAGAGGAGAAAAATTGAATAGAGCTAACCACTATTAGGGTGACCGCCTTCCTGGTTGGCCTGGGACTCCCATTCAAGGGAACCCCGAGGCCTGGGGAGGCCAGGACAGCCAGTCATCCTAAGTAGAAGTATGCATGTGTAGAAATATGTATACATAAAATACACCTTAATCTATAGAAGTAGAATACATATAATATAGAACTGGGATCAAACTGAAGACAGAAAACTAATATTCTCTTAAAGAGAGAAACTAGACTGAGTTTCAAAGGAAAATCCTTTCGTGGTGCTTAAAAACCCTAGTGTAGTCAACATGTAGCTGGAGATCGCCTCCATGAAAAGACTCAGAAGGAACCGTCAGGCCTCGTGCTCAACGTGGCAGAATGTACGTGGAAAACAGGCGAACGTGTCTGCCTGCGCCGGGTGGGGAGCGGGTCTGCTCCCCTCCTGAGGCAGAAGCAGAGGAGTCACTGGGGGTGGTGGTAGGTCCCCTGCGCCACGCCTCCCTTGCTCCACGCCTCCCCTGCTCCACGCCTCCCCCAGCAGGACCGAGCTTCTTTCTCTATGATGAAAGAGGCAACGGAGGAAAGCTAGGTGGTGCTTTCCTCAAGGGCCCTGCTTTGTGGATTATTTCCCCCCAGATCTCTCAGAGCGTCCTGTTTGCCTTTCTGGGTTTTGTGAGAACCATGAACTCTCAGGATTTGGGGCCTCAGTGGAACTGAAGGCATTTCCCCTACTCTGCAGAGCAGCAAGAGAAAACGTACGTCAGACCTCTTGTTGACACATGAAAGCAGATCTTTTGGGGTATGAGTCTTAGACCTATTTTTTTTATTTAGAAATGCTGAACTTTTAAGATATGCATAGAATCCATTTCTGGATTCAGAGCCCTTGGCAGCGGAGCATTAATTCTTCGGGCTGCTATAACTTGGAGCACTGTGAACTCCAGGATCACATGATGGACAGACAGGGTTCCAGGGGAGTGAAGGTGCTGCCTGTTCTGCCCACCTCTGCGGGAGGAGTGTCGTCCCCAGCAGGGAACCTGGGTTGGTGGGTCCTAGGCCTGTGTGTCCACCCACCCGTCAGGCAATTCCCAGACTTCCTCTCTAGAAGAATGAAGGGCCTGGCCACTGCCCCGTAGCCTGGGGTGTGAGTGGATGGGACCTGGACCACAGCCTGAGGAAGGGTCCCTTAGATCCCACAGACCCATCCTGAGTGGTGTGCAGTGCTGGTCCACGTCACTGAGATTTTGTGCTGTTTGTCCTTAAAGGAGGAGGGTAGGCAGTGAGGGGCCGCGGCTGGCTTTGCTGGGCCACTCCTGTGTCACGGAGAGCCACAGAGGTCCTCAATGTCTCCCTCCAGGATTTCTCCTGTCGTGTAGGAGCCGGCAGAAGATGCAGAATCCCTTCTGCTTTTCCCTTCCTAATAAAGTCTAAATGAGTCATGTGCACGAGCCGTGAAGGCCCCAGCAAGATGCAGCCACAGGCCAGAGCCCAGAGTGCAGACAGCATGCACCAGGGAGAGGACCACCATGTGAAGTGGACACACCCAGAGGCCACGGCATGGGGGCCATTTGGGCAGAGGCCACAGTGTGTCCGGGCATCTGGAGGCATGTCCCGTGGCAACCCTCAGTGATTGTCAGTTTCCCCTCTGCCCAGTCTGCCCATTCTGGGCCATGGGAGCTGTGTGGGAAGCTCCAAGTCCTCTGGCTTCCGGTGAGCGCTGGCCCATGATGGCGTCTGAGGAGAGAGGGCCCAGGCTTTCATTTCCTTCACTGGACCCTGTGGGTCGGCTGCTGCCCTCACCAACAGCACGGTTCCGATGGGGCCCAGTGGCCGCCAGAGCCTTGTCCCTCAGGTGGGTGGCAGCAAACTGGGTGCTCCCGGCCTCCTTGGCTTTGGAAACTCCCCTCCACAACACTGAGAGCAGCCCCCTCCAGGGTGAGGGGGGCCTTGCGTTCTGAGGTAACAGCCCCCACTACAAAGGCGGGGGTCGTCTGCTGAGACCCGTGTCCAGAATGGCCCTTCAGAAGCTTTGCTCCTGGTCCTTGAGAAAGTCCTCACTGAATTCCAGAAAAGGGGCCTTTGCTGGATGCCCGCCCCACCTCTCACAAGGGGCGACGGCTGCACCACTCAGCCTTCCCCAGGAACAGGAGACTACGGGAACCATGGGATTCCCTGCAGGTCTGGGGCTGGGTTCCCCTGCCCGGGTGGGAATGGCAGTGAGGAAAACGCATGAAAGCTGTGGCCTGCAGCTTGTGGACGGCCAGGTGTCCCTCTGGGAGAAGAAGTTAGGTTGTTACGGTTTGGATGGGAGGTGTCCCCCGAGAGGTCCAGAGTGAGACGATGCAAGGTTTCCAGGTGAGATGATTGGGTAATGAGGGCCTCAGCCCAATCAGGGGTTAGTCCCTGGTGGGATTAACTGGGAGCTGACTGGAGGCAGGTGGGGTGTGGCTGGAGGGGGGGCACTAGGACGTGGCCTTGGGGTATATATTTGTATCTGGGGGCACAGAGTCTCTGCTTCCTGATCATTACGTGAACCGCTTCCCTGTGCCACACTGTTTTGCCACGATGTCCTGCCTCGAGCCCCGAGGATGGAGCTGGCTGTCTTTGGACTGAGAGCCCTGAACCCTGAGCCCCCAAGTAAGCTTTTCCTCCTCTAAATGGTTCTTTTCGGGTCTCTTGGTCACAGAGGCACAAAAACTGACTAAACAGAGGAGGCTCAAAAAAATAAAGAGGTGGTTGTAGCCGCAGATGAATGCCCTCGGAGGAAACCCCACGTCAGAGACCTTGGTGTCGACCCCCTCCTGAGGCAGCAGCCCAGCAGAGCAGCGAGCCAGGTTCCCGTGCCCAGGAGCGACTCTGCCCTCCTCCAGGGCTAAGCAGATGGATGGCCACAGCACGGAGTCTGGGCAGAGCTGCAGCAGAACTGGGGCACTGGGGGGGGCAGAGGACAGTCAGCATGGCGGCTGTAAGGGGGGGAGAAGCCAGGGGGGAACAGAGGTGGGGTGGAGGATGAGTCCAGCAGAGGCCTCAGCTCACCTGGTAAGGAAATGGAGCAGGCGGTAGTGAGGGGCCCACTGCCGGGAGGAGCGATGACCATGTGGCAGGCAGGTGCCGCTGTCCCACAGGAGCTGTGAGGCAGAGAAGAGTGACACCCCGCCAGAGTGTGTGGGTTTGACATCACCTCTGGGGGGCTGGGCGGGGTCATGGCCGGCTCTTACTCTCAGGTGTTGCACTTACCTGTGGACCACGGCAGCCTGTGCACCTCAGATCAGCTCCCACCCTGGGACAGGACTAGCTACCGTTCAGGCTCGGGTGCAGACAGACAAGGCCTGCTGCTGGCTCTTGGGGAGGCCTGTGGCTTGGGCTGTGGTCTGGGACAGGAGAGGGAGCCTGAGGAACACATGCAGGAGACAGAAGAGGCCTCGCCGACATTCTGAGGGACAGCACAGTGCCATCTCCAGCGGCCGGTCTGAGGCCCACTCTCCCTGAGCCACAACGCCTTTTACCACGGGGAGCAGAGCTGCAAGTCCTGACTAAAGTCTCCCCACTTTGCTAATTTTTCCTGGAATGTCACAGGCTCTGTGCTGGCTTTGAAGACCCAGAGCTCCAAGTGGGGATGGGTTTCCAGCCTGGGAGAGGTCATGGAGGGCAGGGGGCGGGGGGCAGCCAGGGAGAGGTGAGGTGGAGGAGGCCAGCAGGACAAGGCTCTCTGAAGGCGGGCTGGATTTGTTTCTAAGAAGCGTCTGTTCAGTTCCTTGGCCCATGTATTGATTGGGTTGTTTATTTTTTTGGTGTTAAGTTTTTTGAGTTCTTTTTATATCCTGGAGATTAGTACTCTACCTGATATGCATGTGGCAAAAATTTGCCTCTCTCTTCATCTCATTGGTTGTTTTTTTTTTCCCTGAGAACAAGCTTTTTAATTTGAATCCATTCCATTGATTGATTCTTGATTTTATTTCTTGCGCTTTAGGAGTCTTGTTAAGTAAGTCAGGGCCTAATCCAACATAAAGAAGATTTGGGCCTAGTTTTTCTTCCATTAGGCATAAAATCTCTGGTCTAATTACTAGGTCCTTTTCAACAAATATATGAAAAAAATGTTCAACATCTCTAGTAATTAGAGAAAATGCAAATCAAAACTACTGTAAGGTTTCACCTCATGCCAGTCAGAATGACGTTTATCAAGAATATGAGCAACAATAATTATTGGTGAGGATGTGGGAGGAAAAGGCACACTCATACATTGCTGGTGGGACTGCAAATTGGTGCAACCAATCTGGAAAGCAGTATGGAGATTCCTTAGAAAACTTGGAATGGAACCAACATTTGACCCAGCTATACCACTCCTGGGTTTATCCCCAAAGGACTTAAAAACAGCATACTACAGGGACACAGCCACTTCAATGTTTATAGCAGCTCAATTCACAATAGCTACACTGTGGAATCAACCTAGACGCCCTTCAATAGATGAATGAATAAAGAAACTGTGGTATATATACACAATGGAATATTACTCAGCATTAAAAGAATAAAATCATGGAATCTGCAGGTAAATGGATGGAGCTGGAGAACATCATGCTAAGTGAAATAAGCCAATCCCCCCAAAAACCAAAGGCTGAATGTTTTCTCCAATAAGTGGATGCTAATCCATAATGGGGGGTGTGCATGAGATGAGTGGAGGAACTTTGGATATGGGGCAAAGGGGAGGGGGCAAGGGGTAGGAAAGATGGTGGAATGAGACGAACATCATTCTCTAGGTACAAGCATGACTGCACGAATGATGTTACTCCATGTACGACCAGAGAAGTAAAAAATTCTCCATTTGTGTACAATGAATTGAAGAGCTTTCTACTATCATGTATAACTAATTAGAACTAATAAAAAAATTAAAGGCGTGCTGGAGTTGAGAATCAGAGGATGAATGGGAGGAACTGAGGGGCCCATGTTCTTCTCACTCAGCTGGTGAGAACCTAGGCAGAGGAGGAAAAAAAACCGGATGATGTGAGGCACAGTGACTGTCACTGACTCACTCATTCTTTTAAAACTCCCCATAGTTGATGTTCACTGTTGCATTGAGCCGTCTGATTGGCTTCCATGGCTGGTGACGAGGATGTCTGCGAGCTCACTGCTGACGTTTGTGTGGTCTTGGCCTAAGTGAGGCTGGATTCCTGTCCTCTTTGGGTCTCTGATGTTGTCCCTGGACCCAGAGACACTTGGAGAGGAGAAGCTCCCCACCCTAACAGCACACAGCCCTCCGGTGCCCTTTCTCTAGAGGGTTTATGATTGGATTTCCTTAGCCAGCGATGAAGGAAGGCGTAGAGGAACGATGGAAATTCCTACCCACAGGGTCAGCTAGAGAGAGGAGCGAGGAAGAAACTGTCACCAGGGCGCGCTGGTGGCCCTCGCTGGATGCACTTGAGTTGGATAGTTTCTCACGTGGAATGGAGGAGGAAGCAGTGTTTGGAGATAAAGGAAAACCTTACTCTAAGGTTTCATCTCACGCCAGTCGGAATGGCAGTTATCAAAAGCAGACAAAGAACTGCTGGCCGGCTGGCCTGCGGGAAGGAGAGCTGGGATTTCACTGAAAAATACCATCCAGACTCTGCCAAAGAGCGAGGAAATCTCAGAACGGCGTTTGCGGGTTCAGTTGACTCCAGGCACCGGAGTTCTCGTCTGCTTCCAGAGTTTGCATTGTCTAGCTGCGTGACTCCAAGAAACAATGCAGTTGGAATACGTTTAATAAAAGATTAATAAGCACTCAGTGTCAGGAAAAGTTAGTTACCAAGAACCCAGGGTAAAACAGAACTGAGTTTTACCTTTGTTTCCTAGTGCCACCAAGATGGGAAATGGGGACCATTTAGTTCACTGGAGGAGGTGAGCAGCCTGGGAGCCTTCACCCGGGCACACTGTGCTAGGATGTCCCCTGTGCAGGTGCCACGGGAGACGTTCTTGCAGGAGGTTCAGGGGCATCCACTCCTGCTCCCTCATTTTTCAGGTGGGCGGATGGCGAGTCAGAGGAGGAAAAGCCGTCCAAGGAGGAAGACGTCGGAGGTGGTTTCTCTCATCGTGGCACCCGGTGGCTGGCCCCATTTGTGACCTGTTGTCTCACTGTGACTGTGGTCAGATATAGAAGCTTGCCTCGGGCTTCATCTTGTCCGGGCAGCTGCAGTCCCTCTGGATGGCCTCGGACTTGGGGGTGGACGTGAGGCGGGGCTCTTCAGCGGATCTCAGGCTCATCTGTGGCCACAGCCTCGGGGTGCCACCTACAGCAGGATGGCTCAGGGCCTCTGCCGGCTCCTGCCACTCCCCACACTCTGAGCCACCCTGGGCTGGTCCAGGGAGGCCTGGGCTGGGGCGGAAGTGTCTGCACGGGCCTGCGCCTAGGATGGGGCTGATGTTGGCCACAGTGAGGGGCAAGGGAGGCTGGGCAGGGCTGCTCTCTCCCGGCATCCTCCTGGAGCGGGCCATCAGCAGGGACGCGGGGCTGCCCTCTTGGTGTGGGGACGTGGCCACTTCCGTGGTGGCACTGAAGTACAATGTTGTGCTCTCCTGTCCCTCGCTCCCTCTCAGCTGCCCCGCTGCAGTCCTCCCCTGCTCCCTGGGGGCAGCCCTGGCTCTCTGCTTTGGGTTGTCCTCCCCGCGTGGAGCTGACGGCTTCCGGGTGGGCACGCTGTCCTGGTCACTGGCAAAAGAGATGTAACTCGAGGTTTCCAAGGTGTCCACCTCTGCTTTTGGGGTCCCTTCAGACTTGGAGCCTTTCTCTAGGGTTGAAGCATCATGGGGGGATGACAGGTGGGCTTTCTGGGTAAATAGGGTCTGCCCCTGCAGACTGCAGTGTGGACTGGACCCCCATGTGGGGGGACAAGGGCAGCCAGAACTGTCCTCTCCCAGGGCTGCGTTGATCTTGGGCACGTTTCCTGTTTTTAGAGCAAGTTTCACCAGCAGCCAATGATGGCGGCTCAGGAGGGACCCCTCCCTGGAGCCTGGGTCCCCCGTCTCTGCCTCTGCAGGGCCCTGCTCTGGGCTGGAGGTCTTCTCCAGCACCCAGCTTTCTCCGTGGCAGGACTCTGCGCGCTCAGGCCTCCCGGCCGCTGGAGCCGTGGTCTGGGGAGGGGCCTCCTGCTCTGCGCTGTCCCTGCCGGCAGGGCCTCTGCACGTCCTCACGAAGCCTGGCCAGATGTCTGTGGATTTGGGGTGTAGCAGGCTGTAATAAATAACCAGCGACACGCTGCCTGAAAAAGACAGAGAGTACCAGGTCAAGTTCTCGGAAGTCCTGCAGCCTCGTGGTTTGTGGTTCCAGGTTCGAGCCATTTTGAGTAGAGCAATATCAGTGGGATCCAAAGTGAGACTATTTGGAGCCCGAGAAATGCATGTTCTGGGGGAGTTTGCAGCTCATCTTCAACTGGAACAAGAGAGCTTGACTCCTACTGATTCTGGGTCTTCCTTCTCAAGCACACCCACCGATTGCTCGGGTTGTGTGTGAGAATATATGTGTGTACATGTGTGTAGTGGGTGTGTGGCACGGGGATGTGTAGCGTGTGGGAGTGGGCACACGTGTGTGAGTGTGCAACATGCCTAGAAGAGCTCTCAGTCAACAGCCTGGTGGAGGGGCCACAGCGCTCTGGTGCTGGCGGAGGGCTGCAGCCCAGGCCGCCCTGCTCCTGAATAGCCACATCAAGGAACTTCCAGGAGCAGCAGCGGGCTTCCTCTGTGTGCAAACACCTTTGTCACATTGTTGCCTTTTTCGTATATTTTGACCAGGAGTGTTGACTGCTGGGTAATCTCTTTAACAGAGCGTTCCAGTAAGCCTCCCACACAGCGCCCAGCTTCCTGCGGCACTGGAGGAGCGCGGGGCAGGGCGCTCCTTATCAACCGCAGGAAACGCGAGGAAGTGCTGGCGAGAAGAGTCTGAGGGCGCCAGGACACGCCAGCGTGAAGAGCTGCAAGGGGCCCCAGGACTCTGCCCCAGACCCTCTGTCTCTCGGGCCAAGGGCCACTGCTCAGGGCTTGAACCAGGGACACGGGGCAGAATCCCTACATGCTCGGTGTGGCCTCTGCAGCAGGCCCTGATCACCACTTCTGCACACTGCTTCAGACCCTCACATTGCTGGGAGGGACCTAGTGCCACCTTTTACAATGAATGACCCAAGACGAACCAAGCTGTGGGGTCATAGAAGTCCTTAGCACACGGATCCAGTGAAAAGTCTCTCCAAGGGCCACGCCATTTGCTGGTTTTGGGTTGTAGTCCCAGGCTGGCAGGCAGTAGGTGCTCAATAAAGAAGGAAAGGTGGTGGGGGCTAAATGTGAGCAGGAACTGTCTACTTTCAGCCTGAGCTCCAGCTCTTTGGACTACAAATCTCCCTCTCCTCCCTTCCTACCTTCTTCCTTTCCATTTTGTTTCATATTTAGTGATATCAGTTTTGATCTAGTGTATTTGATTGTAAGTATACACATAATATGGTTAATTCTCAATTATGCCTGTGTTGAACAACTGGCTCACAAAATTTCTTTTTCATTTTTTTGTCTCTCTTCCTGCTGAGGATTCCTGAGGCCCCTCGTGAACCAGGCTTGCTCAAGCTCTGCCTGCAGTGCAGAGGGACAGGCAGGCCCACTCTGGCTGAGCCCTGCCTGTGCTCTTCCCACCCCGAGCTTATAGGACTCCACTGTGCCTCCCCGAGCCAGAGCATGCAAAGAGGTCGGTCCTCATGGCTGGCTCCGCCGTGATCCCACCTGCCACGTGGCCCACCCCCCAGGGATTGCTTGGCAGGGCCAGGAGCCCCGGGAGCCTCAGTTCTCACCTGCCTGGGCAGCCTGCTGTTCTTGGGATGGGCCAATCTACGCACACGAGCGGCTTAGAAAGGAAAGCGCCGCTAGCTAAGCTGTGTTATAAAGGGCTACACGGACGCCCTTCAGTGGGCGGGTGGTTCACCTGTGGTCCTGCCACGCTGTGGAATGCTGCTCAGCCATCAAAGGGCCGGTGAGGGAAGAGGGCCACCCAGAACTGGTACCATAAGGGCATTTACGTAACATCCTTGAAGTGGTACAGGTGCAGAGGTGGAGGGTGGGTGGCTGGCCAGGAGCTGGGGGTGTGGTGGGGTGAGAGGAAGTGGGCGCTGTGGGGGTCTTTGGTGTGGGAGGGTCTTCCTGTCTGGGCTGTGTCACATTCTGTCCTGGTTGTGAGACTGTGATACAGTCTTGCAGGGTGGAGACTGGGTGATGGGTACAGGGTACTCTCTGCACGATTAAAACTACAACTATCTGGAAAGAAAAGTTCATCTGAAGAAGCATTGGCTCAGCCACCCACCCTGCCAAGCCAGGACTCGGACTCTGAGGAAGAGGAGGCAGGCTTAAGGCCCAGGGGGTTGGGGCTCAGGTACTTGTCATAGACCCGTGATCTGGGAGTCTCCTCCGTGCTGTGAATGGTCTCTCACCTCGAAGGCTTTGGGTCTAGGTTGCTCTTTCCCCTGTCACAGCTGCTCTCGTAGGCCAGCCCACCCCCAGAGCTGTGAGCAAGAAAAGAGTCCTGGGTCCCTGCTGCCCACCTCTCGGGGGAGGGCCCAGGTGTCAGGTGGTCTTGTTGCCTCCATGTGCCTCCTTCAGAGTACAAGTGGGCAGAGGAAGGGGTGGGGCGTGGCAGGACCTCAGGACCAGGTGAGCAGGGGTGGGGCATGGGCAGGACCTCAGGACCAAGGCTTGTAGTGAACAATGGGGGATCCTGGGCAGGGGCCACTGCCACGTGTGGTGGCCATCCTGGACAATCCACCACAGGCTCAAGAGCGGCTGGCAGGGGGGGGGGCAGGCTAGCATCATCCTTCAAGTGCAGGGATGAAGCCCCTGCTGAGCTCACCCCTATCAGGGAGGCAAGGTCAACACATGGGCACAGCAGTGACATCAGGTTGTCCACTCACTAAGTGTGACTGATACCTGAAGTCCCCGAGCACGGTGCTGATGCCCATGATGGAGCTGGGGTGGACGCAGCTAGACCACTTAGCAACTGCTGGTCTCATGGGGTCTCCTAGAGACCTCTGTGCAAACTCTCTCCAACCAGCTGCAGATGTGACAGACACCAGAGTGCCCGCGGCCGTGGTCAGGCCAGGACAGGGAGGAGAGGGAAATCACCCTAACCCCATGGGAGCCTGGAGAGGGGCTGGCATAGGAGGCATTTTGGCTACACGGGGCTAGGCCCAGCCTCACCTGAGTTCCCAGCAGTCAAGACAGGACAACAGGGCTGATCTCAGTTCCTCTTGCCCTGGAGCATGGCCTCCAGCCACAGCACAGTGGCTCTGTCCTCAGTCCCCAGCCCACCACCTCTGAGCTCAGTTTCCTGTCCTCTGAGTCCAACGTAAAAACAAGACAACCAAGTTGAGGAGGCTTGGAGAAGGCGGCCACGGTGGTCTTACCTATCAGAAATCCAGACAAGACCCCAGCTATGGTCTGCAGGCTGCTCCACGAGGCCCCCTGGAGGAAGTCAGTGGCCAGCACCAAAAGAATGATGTCTTCCAGCAGCATTACCTGTGGGACCAAGGCAGAGCCACCGCCTGTCAGAACAAGGCAGAGCCACCGCGCCCTTCCTGGATCTGCAGCTCTTCCTTGCTGTCTCTCCAGGGTGCCCAGGCCGAATGGCCCCTAGAAACAGAACCCTCATCCTCAAGGGAAACCTCTCTGCAAGGGAGAGTCTCCTAGCGTTGCTCATTAAAATGTCAGAGTCACAAACACTGGAGCGGCCGTGGGGGCTCCCTGGGGCAGTCGGGCTGGGCTGCTCTTATTCCCACCTCTGTCTCACGCCCAGGCTGGGTGTAGGCAGGGACTCGTATGGTAACACGATGATGAAAGCCATGTGCAGAGCTCAGGGTGCCACCGAGCTCCAGTAAGCTAGAGTCACAGACTTTCATAACAAGTCTGGAGATTCCTGTAAACAGGAGCACCTTTAAGGGTTAATTTGTTTTGCACCACGCAGTGGCAGTGGGGGAGGGGATCTCTCTGGCTGGTGGGCTCTCCCAAAGGCACCTGCCTCCAGGCTGGCCTGGCCTATCAACTTGTTTCTAATTTTTAAATATAAAAAGTAAATTTTTATTGAAATATGTAAATTAACAGCACATGATTCAAGATTATACAGATGGTCCTTGATTTACCATGGGGTTACCACCCAATAAACTCACTGTAAATCGAATATGTTGCTAAGTTGGAAATAAGTCTGAGGTACCTCGCCTCCCAAACACCCCAGCACAGCACAGCCTGCCCCAAGTGTGCCCAGAACACTTACCTTCCCCACTTGGGCAAAGTCAGGTAGCGCAAGCCCACTTACAGGGAAGAGTGGACTGTCTCGCGTAACTTAATAGTGCATTAAAAGTGACAGAACGGCGGCATGGGTGCAGCTTTGCTGCACTGCAAATCAAAGAATAGAAGTTGGGACCATCTGTACACTTAACTGCCGACCCTAAGACACGGGAAACTGAGTCGTAGCACTGACACGCTCAGAAAGTCTTCCGAAGATCCGCCCTGGCGATTCACAGGCTTCATCTTAATCCAGGGAACTCAATAAGTCAAGGGTCAGAAACTCCCAGGAGCTGTTGTCGGGGGTCTCAGCAGCCCCCAAGGAGTTGCCGGCAGCCCTGTGAAACCTGGAGTCTTCACTCCGACTCCTGAGGGATGTCTGGCTGGTCCACAAGTCTGGTGGAAGGCAGACTTGTCCTCTGGGCGCCTTCCACCTCAGTGCTGTGGCCCTCTGCCTGTGGCCCTGGTGATATCTGACCTGGGCCTCCCTCTCCAGGGGCTGAGGGTGGGACATGGGCTTCCAGGAAGGGAGTCCTCACCATCCTTGCCTGAGGGAGACCCGAGAAGTCAATGAATAGGGGGACCGTGGAGTGCAGAGGCGCGAAGGCCCTGTAGATATGGCCCCAGGGCCTCACGGCTGTTAGGGACAGATGAGGATGGGGGTCACAAGGTAAGAGCGATTCTATAACCACCCCCCGTCCCGTGCTGACCCCCACATGCACTCTTTTCCTCAGTGGACAGGATTCGTCCTCGGCAAACTACCTGTTGTTCACTGCAAGAGAAATGCAGGCCCAGGAGAACACTGATGGGAGGAACCAGGACTCTGGGAGATAAGGAAAGTTCTTCCTAACCAGAGAATCGATCTGCGTGTGGGTAAGAATTCAACTAGAGCTGGTCAGCACGGGCCAAGGTGGCCTAGAGTTGCCATGCAGGGAAGGCCTGAAAGTCTGGTACCGTCCTGCTGTCAGTCCAAAGTCAAGAGGTGGACCTGCGCAGGACTCTCTGGAAACTTCTCTGGGATCCCCAGTAAAACTGGTGCGCAGGAGAGGTACAGAGTCCCTGTCTTCCCTGAGAGGACCCACCCTCTCCCTTGAGAGTGTCCCCTTCTGCTTTCCTATTCCTTCTTTAAACATTCTTGTTACTCTGAGCGACATGTCTGCAATCTTTCTGACCCGATTGCAAGAACTGGGGTTTGAAGACGGGGCCTTTGTGCTGCCTCAGTTTCTGGGAGGGCCCCAGCTCCCTAACACAGTCACCAGGACCCAGTTGGCTCAGGCTCCTGGAGGTCTGAGGCCCCCTTGGGAAGCTGGGGGTCATTATCTGCATTTTCCTTATAATTGTCACTGGCTCTGCTGGTGTCTCACCATCTTTTTTAACTGTATTTCCTTTTGAATGTGTACCCCCGCTGGAGTTTGCCTGCTGAGGCTTGTGACATCTGTCACGTGTCTCGCCTCCATTTATAGGTTACTTTGTGCCAAGCTACTTATGCCACCTGTTGTTTGATCTTGAAAGTGGATGGGTCTTACTTGTCACAGGAACACTGAGGGACAGGTGGAAAAGGCTGTGAGGATCTGAGTTCTGGGTCGTGACCAGCAGGGCTGGGGTTCCGTCACTCGTTAGCCTTCGAAACCTGGGGCCTGCACCTCTGGGCCATATTTTCTCTGCTCTGCTCTTCACAGTGCAGCTCAACCTTCACCTTCTGGCCCCAAGTATCTCTGGTCACCAATGGGAAGCCATGCTAGTAGGTCCTCCAGGTTTTTCTGTCCTGCCTGGCCCACATTCTGCCTTACTATCATGTGAACTTACCAATATGAATTTTTTAAAAAATGGGTAGACATTTCTGCTGAAATAGAAGCAACCTGAAGACTGACATCAGGCCACCTTTGAGATTGTCACCCTAGGTAGGACCGCATCTGGAACTCGGTGATAAACACCTGGTAAAGACTGAGGTGATGACCAAGGCCGTTTTGCGGGACGAGGACCTGCAGGGACCCTCAGCAGACAGCAGAGAACACACCAAACGCGCCTCAGCTTTGCCACAGTGATTCTGTGGTGGCACCTGGACATCGGCTTAGTATTTTCACAGCCCGTTGTCTCCATTCAAGACTAATTCCTTTTAGAATTTTCCTGTAAACCACGCCAGTCCTTCTTTCATAGCTGTGTGCACACTCACGCTCCTGTGTACACAGAAACATACACACGGTCCTGTGCACACAGACTCACACACACACGACAGGCCACACACATTCTGGGAGAGCCGGGATGGAAGAGCGCCCCCGTCGCACTTGCCGAGTAGAAGCTGGCCATCCTCCGTCTGGAAGGGCTGTCCCAGAAGTCGAGGTAGCAGAGGATGTACACGGCCCCCACCAGCAGGTTGAAGAGTCGCCAGTGGCAGGTGCTGTCGATGATGTCACTCTGCTGGGCTACGAGCCAGAACGTCATCACCAGCCAGTGGGCACCTGGGGGGAGGTGAGCGGTGGTGGTCAGGGTCCAGGGGGAGGTGGGGGAGGGGGGCAAGAACACAGAAGCACGGCCTGGAAACATCCCTCTCTGCTTGGGCTGCACTTGCCCCCGCATCCAAAAACAGACACCAGAACCCAGAAGAGGGGAGGAGCGGCAAACCGGCCAGTCCAGCTCTGCACCCATCACCTCTCGAGCCTCCCAGAGGGCACTGGCCTAGTCTGGAGACTCGGGAACAAAGATGAGCTGCTGCCCTCCATGGCACATGTCAGATGTTACGTACCCCTGCCTTTTTGGTTCCAGAAAGGTTTTAAGGAGGCAGTTACAAAATCGACTCTACTATTTTAAAATTGTTACTACATGAGCCAAAACCCTCCATACCCACAGGGAAGGATTCTATGTGGTCCAGCTATAGTTTTTATGCCTATGTTTTAAGATGAGTAATATCCTTCTAGAGTTAAAGCCGAGTTTTTAAAAGGATGAATAAAAACATCGTTAATTTCTCTTTTGGAGCAAGTTTTTTTTCCCCCCCAATAACTGTATCAAATGTTTGTTCTGGGCCCAAGGGCCAAATATCTCTCAATGTCTCCAGTTCCCTTAAAACAAGAGTACACTGTTCTTTCTTGCAGAGTGTATTCACTGATGACCAGAGGAGACTGCTGTCCTTGGCAGAGACACACAGACCCCATTCAGGAGTGTGCAAGGCCAGAGAGACTCCCTGTCATCACTGTGCATCTCTGTGTGCCCTGGACAGAGGGCTGGGGTTCTGAAGAGCTGTCTTGTTTCAGACAGAGACAATGTCGGAGCACTTTCAGAGACTATAGGCAGCCTCGCATAACTTTGTACTGGGTATTTTTGTACTGGGTCAGGGCAATGGGACCCCAGACCTCCCTCCTGTTTGAATGGCAGTTTTTCTAGGGAAAGATTTTGGTCTGTGATGTAGAATGGTGTCTATGCCCTGGGGGTCCCTAGGACTTTCGAGGCTGGGATATGTAAGCTATGGCGAGGTCTCTCCAGAGCAAGCCGAGTGCCCTCCTTCCCACTCCATGGCCCTCTGGGAGCTGGGGTCTGCGCCTCTACACAGGGGGATCTGGGCTGCCTGTGGCTGCTCGGACCGGCAGAGCCCAGCGGAAGCAATACTGGGCCAGTTCTAGGCCTGGCTTTTAAGAGGACTGGCAGTTCCCACTTCCTGTCTTGGAATTCTCAGCTGCCAAGGGTGAGGCCAGGCTACTTTGTGGAAGAGCAAGGCCATGTGTGCACGCAGCCCGCTCCAGCCTCCCTGTGAACCCAGACGCCTGCTCTCCTGCTGCAACCACAAGCGACCCCTAAGCAGGAGCCACCGGCCCAGCCAAGCTAGCCCCAGACCTGGGGCTCATGATCATCAACAGTGATTTCTAAGACATGCCGCTCTGCGGTGCGGTGTTATGCAGCAGTAGGTGACCAGGGTGTGAGTTCTGCTTACCTCCAACCACCAGGACCCAAACACGGTAAGCTCTGCAGAACAGAGCCAGACTCAGGACGCGGGTCCCCAGCATGCCCATCCGCCAGAGCTGCTGGCAGAAGAGGGCAGCCCATGGCATGATGCGGTGGCCTGGCTTCAGGGCACCCAGGAAGTGGGTGTAGGACACCAGGGCCCAGGACAGTGAGGACCAGGAGAGCAGGGCGCTGACTCCTGAAAGGGAAGCAAACAGAACATTCCTTGCAGGCTCCAAACAGCCACAGTTGAAGGTTCATTGCTTTAATGGGGCATATAACCTCTCATTAAAACCCACCTCTACAGGGGACACCACTGACCAAGCCCCTTGAAGGTGGAAACATAACAACTGTGTGCACGAAGGTACAAATCTGTACACAGGAATAAATGAGGACACAAAGAAGCACTTCCACTGCCCAATGTCCTGGGTGCCTTGCCCAGAAAATGGCCTTTGTAAGCCCTGAGGAAGAACTTCCCAGCCCCAGGTCCAAACCCTCTGGTCTAAGTTCTGTTTAGAACAAAGCAGACCCTGGAAGATGATGAATGTGGTTCCTTCCCAGATGTTTTGCTGCTCGATCACTGGATCATGTGAAGGAGGTTTAATAAAAAAACTATGATCAGAACATAAACGGCATCAGGCCCTTCGATGAAGATGCATGGAAGAATGATACAGTCCTGTCTTCTGAGCATTTGGTTTATGTACATGTCGTGCGCACAGAGGGAGGGGGACGGAGGAGGTGGGTGAGGGAAGGAGGGAAGGAAGGAGAAAGAGAGGGAGGGAGGGAGGGAGGGAGGGAGAGATTGTGGATGCAGGAGATGGAAATGTGCATCGGCTGGGATCTGAGTGGTGGTTTCCATGAGGCTCTGGAGTCAGCTCTGGCTGCATTAGGAGTTATTCTAGTGACTAAGGCACAGGGAAGACGGAGCACTGATCTCACTGAGAAGCAGTTCTTCCTGGGGTATTTTCAGGGTCATCTTAAGTGCACAATTTCTATCTTCTGGCCTGACCTTACAGCCTAACCCCCGAGGAGAGCCAGCTCACTGAGAATGCACTGCCCCAAGCAAAGCCAACTGTAGTCCCCTAAGGGCTAGTGAGCACAGGATGCCCTCATTCTCCCAGGCAGGGGAGATCTCGGTTGGGAGGGTTTTGCTAACCAGTCACGTGTTCATGTCCCCCTTGGGAAGTTGACAGTCTGAGCTCTGCAGCAAGAGGTACTCACCTGGCACAACATCTGTGAAGTCTGAGGCTAGAAAAACATATGTCTGGAGCAGCAGGTGGGGCCCCGTCTGCAGCAGGGCCTCCAGGAGCCGGAGGGCTGACAGGTCAGCCTCCTGCAGCCACAGCTGTCCCCAGTGGGGAGCCTCCTCTGCCTTTGACAGAGCACTTGATGTAGTGTCCCAGTGCCTAAAGAAGAGCAAGGGACATGGTGACGTGGAGCCAGGCTGTGGCAGGACTCAGTAGGACACCCTCTTTCACTCATTGACAGGTAGCATTCCGGGAAATACCCTAGGTACTCATCAATGCCACCCAGAGTCATCAGCCAGGCTGTCACTGGGCTGGCTCCGAGCTGAAGATGTCAGTTCCAATGGGTGTGCCCCGAGTTCTGGTGCTCAGCCAGGCCCAGCCTATGTGCCACAGACTCCCCACATCTGGGAGGGTGGGGAGGGCAGGTGAGGAGCCAGGACCCAGTGCAGGAGCTGCCACAGGGCAAGGAAACCCAGACGGGTAGGCTGGCAAGGTTAAAGGCAACTCCACGGGCTCCTCTGCCCCAGAGCCTCTTGGGATGGGAATCAATTCCTTCAGCAGCTGCTTGCTCCAAGGTGCTGTGTGTGGTCATCTCTTTAGAGCCCAGAGAGATGAGAAAACCCTCATCCTCACACTCATGGAGTGCAGAGCTTTGTGTGCCCTAAAACTGCGACACACAAGAACCTTGTGCCCTAAAATTATGACACCCAAGAAGCTGGGGGGCTGTTCATGCTTAGGGGCCAGGATGAGAAAGAAAAGCCACACACATGCACACATGCTCACGTGCTTGCACTTGCACACACACACACACACACACGTGGATGGAGGAGAGTCAGGCTGTCAGGTGGCAAGATGAGAAAGGGAAGGCATGTCGTCAAGGTGGAGCGTGCAAACCAGGCTGAGGCAATGGGGAACCAGAGGCAGCTGGAGGCAGCTGGACAGCTGCTAGCAGCCAGGTGGACACAGAGAACAGCAGAAGGGATGAGCCCCGTCACACGGCTGTTGCACCGGGCTGCGCGGACCCCAAGGACACTTCAGCTCAGCCCACCTGGGTGACCTTCCTAGGGTCTGGAAGAGGAGTCCAACTCCAGTGAAAGGACTTAGAATGCTCTTTTCTCATTCTGTTTCCCATAACCATCCCAGGAGCCTTTTCCTCATATTCTCATCTTCTGAAAGCTGTCTACAATGTGGCGTGGGTCACCTGCTAAACTGCCCAAAGGGCCACACGGAATGTCTAACAACCATGCCACTCCCTGGTCACACTTGGGGGTTCAGAGGACTCTGAGTTTCCATTGGTGATGAGGTTTCTAAGCATCAGCAGCAACAAGGGAGGTGACCACCTGCCTGCTGTGTGGGCAGTGATGCCCACAGCTCCATTTAGGAGCAGAACCTCCTGGTCTTGTCCAAGTCCAGAGACACAGTTGAGCAACCCCTGGGCCAGAGCCATGTCCCTGGAAGTCCACGGGGGAAGGCTTCCCAAGCATCTCCCCAGACTCTGCCGTGACAGGCAGACTCTGATCTCCGGCCAGCTCCGCTATGTCCAAGCAGAAGGTGGGGGGTCCCCTTTGAAAGGGTTTCACTTACGGGGCTGAGGGCCTAGGGAAGATGCTTAGGGAAAACAGTTTTCCTTTTTCATGATTTGGAATCCTGGAGTGAACTGATTTCTCACTGAGTCTTTGAAGCTCTGATTCTGACACAAACTTAAGGTTAAGAAAAAAACATATGAAACCCCCAAAATATAACCAGAAAAATGAACCGTGTTCACTAGAAGCTTATGATTCAGTTTTGGAAAGAAAACACATGTGAAAGGATTGAGGAAGAAACCATCAAAATGAGCGGTGAGGGTGGAGGTGGAGTCCGAGTCCTGGCAGGGGGTCGGGAGGTGGAGGAGGGCTCTCTGGGGGAGGGTGGGAAGGCCTGGTTGGGCAGCTGAGGTGGGAGGGAACCTCAAGGGGTGTGTGGGGTCAGTGGACAGGGAGCGGGCAGTGGGAAGGGTCCATGTCTGGGATCTGTCAAGAGTCTGGTGGAACAGAGGCTGAGGCCAGACGGTGAAAGGTTCCTGGGGTGGGCTGAGGCTGCTTCCTCCGGGATGCGGACGGCCTGAGGGAGGGCAGCCCCCCAGGTTTTGTCACAGTAGGTCACCGGGGGCCCTGGGAAAGCTGGGGTGATGTGGAAGGTGCAGAGAGGTGGCTACCTGGTTCTGAGATCCAACCTAGCTGTCCTGGCACAGCACACCCAGGCCCCCAGCTGCTCTGGCCTGGGTTCTGACAGCCTCGGCCGACGGTTGCTAGGGCAGCTCTTCCAGGCCCGGCCTGCCACGGTGGTCTCAGCCTCCCAGGCCCAGCCTGCCACGGTGGTCTCAGCCTCCCAGGGCTTCCAACCGCAAGCTCCTTAGGCTACGACCAAGGTCCCTCTACCCTGACACTTTCCCTCCTCTAGAGAACACTCTCCTGTACTGACTACAGACGTCCACTCCCCAGACAGGAGTTTCTGGAAGCTGCTGTGCCTTTGCAGCAACACTGCAGCTGCCTGGTCAGAGTCGCCTCCCCCCCATGATGTGAGAACCTGCAGAGGCGCCAGGACCAGACCTCAGCGGGTGTAGGGACAGTGCTCTGCCTTCTATGCGGAGGGCAAGTCTGACTCTTGGGGCTCTGCCGACATCCTTCTCTGTGCTGGTAATGCCACTCTCAGCTCTGTTCCCAACTCAGCCTCAGAGACTGCCCTCACTGGCGTGTCTGCAGCCCCTCGGGCACACACGAGTCACTAACCATGAACAGTCACACACCAAGCATGCTGAGCCCTGTGGATGACGGTCCAGGGTCCTGGTCGTGTTAAGAACACGGGCTCCACACAGAGGCTTGGAAACACAACCCATCAGCCTAACTTGTCTTTAGAATTCAGTTTCTCAGCAATCTAGTCTTTCCTGACTAACAAGTAAGCAAGAAAATGCGTCCACTACAACTAGAGTAGTCTGTCTTGGGCCCAAGACGTGGAGAATAAGTGATTTTTTTTCTCCAATGTAACATTCCTGGGGATGTTGGCCCTGCCAGCCTGCAGCTCAAGGTTTTGACTAGAGCTGTGTTTTACGTACTTTTTAAGTATTCAGTCTCCACCCATCTACACTGAGCTTATCTTACACACCCTTAAAATTTGCCTCTTTCTTTTAAAGAACTTTTAACTTCTAAATGTGCTAACACAGAATGCATGCTGAGGAGATTAGCTAGGGACTCTTCTACCAGCTTACACTGAGTTTCAATTGAATTGACAGGCCTTAAAAATTGTTAAAAAGATGTTGGTAACATATAGTAGTAGAAGGGACACAAAAAGCCCAAATAGAAAAAAAAAAGTAACTCTTTGTTTAAACAAGCTGCTATTAATGTCAGGTTTGAACAGTCAGATTTAACATGAATATAGTTTGTATCATTTTGTGTTAAAAAAATTCAGCAATTTTGTTTTAAAGTCCTGAAGTTTTATAAGCAACTTTCCTCAAGAGGGTTGTGTTTTATTGATTGTTCTGTTTTTGAAGGCTCCTCTGCATTTCCTTATGGAATCACTCCCTGTGGACCATTGGGATCCAACTCAGGATTGTGCAAAATACCACTGTTTTGGCTCCCTCTACAGGTGACTTACCAAACTGTGATTTTAAAAAAAACGATTTGCTTTAAAAGACTACTTTTACCATGTTTTCTTTGTGAGAGCTCAAAGTGCTAGCTTCAGAATAAGGAAAATATTCTTCTTTCTGTGTTCAAATCTCCCTACTAAGGAAGTAGATTTCTGTGTTTTGGCTAATTTGTAATCTCAGAAAACTTGTAAGCTGGGTAGTTTCTTATGCTTATAATGTCATGAAGTTAGAACCAAATTTGTGACTTGTTTTTAAAAACTGCCCACTCTGGCTTGATCATGTTCTGATATTTTGCCCCCTTTTCTGGCTTTTATTTTTCTTTTTATTCGCTCAACCTCCCCTTTTTAATTTTTTTTTGTGTTCTTTTAAATTATGTGTAAATTTCTTTGGTTACCTTCACTTCTTTATAATGACCAGATACACGTGACTAGTTGTCTTTCCTAGCTCCTAATTTTTGCATCTCTCTTCACTTACCCATGCTAATTTTCAGTATGTACCAGAATATCAGTGTGCTTATGGAGATTCTGAGAGCCCAGGGGAAGACAAGAGGGTGGAGTCCACTGTCAAATACCAGTACCAAGAATCTGGACATGCCCCGGGCCTCTTGCATCCCCACCTCTGAAGAAGGCGCTGGATGAGGTGGGCCTGAGGCTGCCCAGAGTCTCAGAAGCCACATCTACCTGACAATTACTCGGATGGCTTCTCCTTAGCAACCACAGGACCAGTCAACTCCGCAGGCCATCAGCTTTCAAACATTTGCTTAAGGAAAGCCTGGCTCAGTTTCTGCATAGGTCTCTGGCCCCTGAGGTCTCGTTCTTGATGACTCTGATGGCTGAGGTCAGGAAGAGGCCGGCGGCCCTCCTGCTCTCATTTCGAGGCCAGGCTGATTAGGGAGGGTACGGAGATGCTAGGCAGTGCTCAGAAGAGGCTGCAGGCCCCAAGTCCAGGCAAAAGATTCTCTGTGGCCTCCCAGTCCTCGTGTCCAGTCCTCCCCGCACTCTGGCCCATGCAGGCCCAGCTGGGGAGCCTCTGTGGTGGCTGTGGGTGTGTTTGTGGAGCCTGCTGACAGACGGCCGACTGCGGGGCCTGTGACGCTGTGGTGGCTGCCCCCTGTCTTTCTCAGGAGCACCTTCCACTCTGGCCTGAGGGTCCTCGGGTGGGTAGGCAGCATGCCATGCCCATAGTCTCTCTGGACCTGGGGCTCCCACCTGTGAACCTGGCACGTACTTGTTTCAGGGCCTTGTGAGAAAGTCCTAGGGACAGTGACTGCGACAGCGCAAACCCTCAGAACAGAGAGCAACACTTGGCAAGGGCTCCTTCAGTACACTTCCAACTCTTGAACTCTCACGGCCTGGGATAAACACTCGAGCTACAGGCTTCACCAATCTGATCCCTGAATTCTTCTCCTTTACAAAAAGTCCCTTCAGCCCTATGGGATCACTGAGGCGGCCGATTGCTGAAGTGCACATTTGTGCAAACTCACTGCCACATCTCTCTGACAACTCCCTGTTTCCAGGGAGAAGCCACACCTGGCCTCAGAGGTGGCCTGTGGACCACAGGTAAGCCCACAGCACTAGATACATCTCTGGCAGCTTTTCTATGGCAAAAACACTGGTCCTGGCTCCCAGATGACTTCTTCCTTTCACAAAAGCTTGAACAGATGCTGCTGAGGGGTGTGAGGGTATGGGGGTGTTCACTGTCTAGCCTGTGGCTAACTCAACTACGTCACCTTCCTGGACTAAGACAATAGGTGTTCAAACAGAGCTGCCAGGAGCAGTTTTATGAGGCTCCAAAGGTTGACCAAAGGATGGACACAACATGAAGACAGAATTAGGCTGAAGACAAGAAAAAGCTTTCTAAAGGTTTACAGATGCATCTAGGAGGGGGCCCTGGTGTTAGAGATGCTGGATGAGGGGGTGTCAGTATCAAGCAGAGGTGTGATCCTGAACTTCCAGGACCTTAAGGACAGAACATATGGATAGAGGTCAGAGGAGTCCCTTCTTGCACCTGGTCATGCTCTGGAGGTGGAAGGAGTCTGGCTGTTCTTACCGCTTCCAGACACCCAGCTGCAGGAGGTGCAGCATCACCAACAGGCCACGTCCCAGATGCCCATCTTCTCGGAACCACAGATAGCTCAGGCCCTGGACCAGGAAGCCAGGCAGGAGGACAGAAAAGGCCAGCCACCCCCAGAGAAGCTGTCCTGTGGTGAAGTAGTAAACCACAGTACAGAGGCCTGGAGGGACGAGAAAAACCAGAGGGGTTATTGGAAGGATAGGGCTGTAAGTATTTTCAAGTTTTCTGGATGTTACAATGCTCTGAAATCTTACAAAGTTTCTTGGGTGGGAAGAGACTGCTTCCCTTGGAGGTAGCACAGGGCGCCTCCAGGAGCATGCTTGTGACATGCAGACTGCCCAACCCAGGGCCGCCCTCCTCTGTCTGGCTCCCACCCCATGAGACAGTACTGCTCTGCCTTAGTCATCTCAGTGCCAGGAGTCAGGCATCCAGGGGTCAAAAGAGCCCAACACATACTCAAATCATCCATGTTAGCCTGTCCTAAACTGAGCCCGCTGTGCTTGGTCCTTATCTAGGAGGCCCCAACCTGGCCTCTCTACCCTGGCTGCTGTCTACCCTGGCTGCTGTCTTCTGCCTCCTGACCACTGTACTTCCTCAGTGGCCCTCTATGACCTCCTGCCTCTGGCACCTGTGAGGACAATGAACCTGCTTTCCTGAGCCTCTTGTCTACATGCTCGACACTCCATCTCATTAAAAGACAAAACCAAGCAACCTAACCAATCAACATGGTGTCCCCACGGCCAGCAAGACTCTGCTACACCCTGCCTGGGAGCTGGCAGAGCTGGCTGGCAACAGGGGCATAAAGGTGTCAGGGCTCTCTGGGGCACCTCCCTCTGTTACAAGGAGCCACTGTACCAAGTACCTGGCAGCTGGGATGTGCTCTAAGTGTGCCGCCTCCTCTCTGGGACATGGTGCAGAGGACCAGCACTCCCCTCCCCACAGGGTCCTCAGTCATCCTGCACTGCTGCCCACCTGCTGGCCTTTATCCTCCTAGCTAATTCGGTGAGGCGGCCTCCTCCACCTGTGCAGCGGGGCCCTCACTGTCAGCCCCTCCTCACCGCGGCTGAGGATCTTATGAGGTTGGTAATGGAGGCAGCAGCGCTGGTGGACACGGGGATGCCCAGTAACTCTTTTAAATCACTGTTACTTGGATTTTACAGTATTAAAGTTTAAAGTGGGTCTATGAGCACAAGCCATGAATTTGGTGGCAAATGCACTGCCCTGAGGAACAGCTGGGAGTCGTGCAGCCCCAGCAGAGGCGTCTGGGCCCTGGGCTCTGGCCAGTGGTCTAACAGCCTGCGCGTCCCGCCGCACACTCGCCAACCAGGGCCTGCCCGTCCGGTTTTAGCCCTCCCCTGCCGCAGGGCAGGAATTGGGAGTGCTTGGGTAGGACCCCACCCCGGCTCCTCCAGCGCCGCTGGGAGAAAGCGCAGCGGGTGCGCCCGGGGACGGGCGATCAGAGAGAGTCAGCGCCCGGCGAGTCCCGAAGGCGTGCGTGACGGTAGCGGGCGTGGAACCTTCGGGGGTCTTGATCCTGGAGCCTTCCTAAGGCCACCGTCCCGCTCCCCGGAGGCGGGCCCGGAGGACTGAGAACGGAGGCGTGGCGGAAGTGGGCGGAGACACTCCTCTCCGGCACCGCAAGAGTTACACGTTCAAACGCGAAGGGCGCGAAAAGTATGGCCGCTTTGCTTTGCCTTCACTGGGTGGTTGGGTTCCCCGGCAGTCTCGTCTGCCCCACCCCAAGCCCCAGTGGGGAGCCACTGTCCTTCAGACCCTGGGTCCCCCAAGCCCTCGGCTCCCGAGCGGCCTCCCCGCTTCAGGCCGGCCGGGGCGATGGGGAGAGGCGGGGCGCATCTTGCAGCACAGCACTTTGCGAAGCGCGTGGAATAAGAATTCTGGAGCGAGGGCGGGATGCCAGTCCGCCTTTTCTGGCGGGGGAATCCCCCATCCGTGGGGGACCCCTGGATCCGCGGAAGGGGTCATGCATGGGTGGGGGGAGGGGTGGAAATTCATGCAACCGCCGGGGGGGATCGTGCATTCCTGCGGGCTCTCGGGCACCGGCGGGGGATTGTGCATCCGCCAGAGCTCTGGCAACCACGAGCACCCACTAAGGATTGGCGGGCGGGCTCGCAAACTGGGAGGAGAGCCAGCATGCAAGCACCAGCGCGCAGCGCTCTGCAGGCTGCCCAAGCGGGCAGGGTGGGGTGTGCGCCCCCGCCGGCGCTGGGGTGGGGTAGGGTGGTGGAGGGAGCACCCGCCGGCGCCAGCCGCGGCTGCGCTGCACTCACGCGCGCTCTGCTCCGCCGCCTGCACCAGGGCGGAGAGCCCCAGGAGCCCCGCGTGCATCCTCCAGCCTGCCCCGCCGCCTGCGCCCGCCCCTTCCCCTGTCAGACGCCCCGAGTCGGGGAGGTTTCCGGCCTGAGGCCCGACGGCGGGAGGCATTTCGGCCAGAGCCGTTGGGCGCACGCGGGCTGGTTCTGGTTTATGCCAAGTTGCTAGCAGGGGAGGGAGGGAAGGAGGGAGGAAGGACAGATTCCCAGTGGGAAGTCCCGTTTAGGTCTGGCCCCGTGATCTGGACCTAAGGAGAAGGGCTCTTTTGTTGGCCCTGGCCCTGGGGTGCTGCTGAAAGCAAGTCCGGGAGAGCGGCGGCAAGGAACTGAATTAGAATCGTTAATTGGATCTTTGAAATCTTAAAATTATGCGGCTAGAAAAACGCAGGGCGCGTTCCGTGGCATCTCACCTCCAAGTCCTTCCCAGCCTCTGCTCACAGAAGCTCTCCGCTTCCGTCCTTCCGTCCTTCGGTTTCTCTTCTCTCAAAACCTCATTGCCCTGTTCCCTCTTGCCTACCTCCCACCTTATATTCGCTCTCAACCCCTTTCCAGTTTTCCTATCAAAGGGACTATGTGGCCGCATGCACTAGAATATGAATATATTGAAATCGGTACAGAAATTAGGATGAGGAAAAAGGCTCTTCTTGGTTGGTGAGAAATCCGTGTGATGTTCTGTATCTTTCAGCATTTCAATTAAAAAAAAATTTCTCTCGAAATCCTAGGTATTACTGGAGTACTACCCCTGTGTCCTACATTTCCTATGTTAAAAAATCTAATGATTTAAAAGCTGGGCGGTGAGGCTTTGCCTTGGGACAGCAGCAGTTTGAGTGAGAGCTAAGATCAATGTCTTTGGCCTTGAAAGAAATGGAAGGGTTTTGGAAAGAGAAGCAGAAAAAAAGTCACAGAGCAAGGGCCGAGTTGCTACCTAACCACCTCCAACTTCCCTCTGTGACTGCCCTTGACTCAGCTTTTCTCCCTGAGCCACTTTCTTCTGCAGTCACCTTGGATTACAGGAACAATAGGCTGGTCCAGGAGCCAAAATTACTTCCAAGCAGTGGCTCCCTAAGTGGGAGCAGTTACCCCACGAAGCTGTATCCTGCCCCCCAAACCTGCTTTCTCACATGGGAACCATGTCCCCCTCAAGCCACTGTGACTGCCCAAAGCTTCATGCCAGTCCCCAGATAAGGATCAGCCTGACCAATCCCTGCCCAGGACCACCCACTCCACAGGCTGTGGGAGCCCTGCAGCCAGGCAAGCCCCCTGCCCAGGCTTTGTTCCCCTTTTCTGCAACACCTCCAGCCCCTTGAAGATAGATCTTTGGTCGAGGATCCTGTTCCTCATCATTGCTGTCTCCTTGGCATGTTGGGGCTGGTGGCTGAGCTGGTCTATTGGGACCCCTGGGGCCAGGGCTTTCAGCTGCCAAGGATTCTGGTTACAGTGACTCCCATCCTAAATCACAGCCGTGAGGTTACGCAAGTGAGCAGGGAGAGAAGGTGGCGGTGTCTTGTGGAAATCTCTTGGAAGCTAGAGAAATGGAAGTTCCTAGGGTGTAAGTCTCCACCCCTGTCCACCCCTCTGCTTCTCCCCTCTTTCTGTGCACATCTCAGCCAAGGAGTGGAGCTGCTTGAATCTGGCTGGTCTTGGATTTGCTTTGACCAGTACAATGTGGTACTAATCCTGATAAAAATTGTAATAAGCAATTTATTGGAGAAATGGGAAGAGGTAATTCATAGAAAAGAAAATCCTGAAAAGGCCCAATTTACTAAAGAAAACATAATCCAAAACCAAAGAGAATTGAGATATTGCTCAAATCATTAATATTTTGAGAAATGCAAAGTGCAATGTAATCACATTATTGCTTTAGTTAGATCAAAATTATGAACTTGGATGATACTCCAGTGTTCGTCTAGAGCATGAGGTGGCCCAGTGCTGGGTGGGAGTCTAGAGCCATCCTGAGGAAAAGCCGTATGGTCTGCTTCAAAGCCAGACACGGTGCTCCACAATTAAGGCAGTTGTGATTTTAACTTCAGATACACACCTTGGAGTCTTTGATCATGCTTTTCTTTTTACATTATTGGAATAAAAATGTGCCTTGAGGTTAATATTCTGCTTTTTCAATATGGTGAACCAGGCTCATGGTCACATAGTTTGATCTGATTCTTGTTGGCCTAGGCTTTGTATTTGGCTGTGTTGAGGTGCAGTGATTTTTCTGTGAGTGCGTGTTGGGAATGGAACCCACCTCGCTAGCGCTCTGCCACTGAGCTGCACCCCCAGCCCAACGTGCCCTGATTCTTTACCCTATAGTTGAATATTATTTCTTTTCTTTCTTTCTTTCTTTTTTTTTGTAGTGTCAATACCGCTACAATAACCAGTTTTTGGACGTAGTTCTCCCCTCCCTTTTCTATTGAATATGTTTTAAAAGATAAATTTCCAGGTGTAGGTTATTAGACTTTATGCTCCTTACCAAGAGTGTAAAGAATCCTGTGGCCCTTGGTAGTTTGTAGCAATCCCTAGGGCCTGGACTTGGACGGGAGGGCAGCTGTTTCTCATACTGCTGCTGCTGACCCTCGGATGACGGGTCAGGGAACCATTCTGGGCCGAGGCTTCCAGAGAATCTCCGCGGGTGCTGGGGAGGGAGCCTATGCTATCTGCTAGGACTCTTCTCATCCCTACTCCAAGCTGTTGGAAGAAATCCTCCCTTTGTCTCGTCTAACCTCCTCCACACCAGAACCGTGGTCAGTTTGCCAGGGCAGTGTAGTGTGCAGACAGGGTACAGGCGCATTCGCACTGCACGACGGGTGTCTCCAAAACACGAAAGCCACGCAGTGCAGGCAGATGTCCGGTAGGTGGCGCCATTGCACCATGTGTTCCAATCTGTCTGAGGCCGTCTAAAGAGAGAAGTGGAAAAACCTGTTTATAAACATATTTGGAAAACAAATCAGTGTGGAAAGAACTGCGTTTTATTTTTTGGTACTGGGGATGAAACTCTGGGGCACTCCATCACTGAACTATGTCCTCAGCCCTTTTATTTTATTTTGAGATGGTCTTGCCAAGTTGCCCAGGCTGGCCTGGAATTTGTGATCCTTCTGCCTCAGCCTCTGTTGGGATTGCAGTAGTTGGGATTATAGGTGAGTGTCACCATGTCCAGGTAAATGAATTTTAATTTTATTAAAATAATCCTTTGTACTTGAAAATCTTGGATAACTTACAAATGCTTAGGAAACATGATCTCACCAGGCCCTGCCTGCAAGCCCTGGAGTGGGCTGGACCTTACTTGCTCACTGAGATTCAGAGAGACATTTGCTCTGCCAGCAGAAGCAGAGCCCGGTGTGCAGCCAGGCATCTCCAGAAAACTGTGGTGTTTCACAGCAGGTGCTTCCCGGTGTCGTGGGGTGGAAAAGAAAGTCTTTAGACTTAGAAGAGCTGCACTTGACAGCGTGGCAGGAATCATTTTCCTTGCTTCCCCTACCTCCCCCTGGGGCTGGGCAGACACCAGCAGAACAGAAGGGCACTTTCTTTGGGGATGGTGTCATTGATAAGCGGGACCCCCCTTTGTCTGCCTCGCATACTGTGTCCAGCATCTGAGCCGCTCTCCCCAGGTCCTGCAGGTGGTGTGCATGGAGTAGGGAGAGGACTCCAGGAGACACTGCCTGGGACAGTGATCCTGACCTGGGGGCTCCGTGGGCAGCCCACACCCACCTCCTGCACCTTCGGCCTGCCCTCAGCCTGCCCTCTCTTTCTTCATGGCTGTGTATCATCTAATTTGCTTATTTGTTTTCTTTTTTTTTTTT